TATATATATAAAATGCAATGTCAGGATAGTATGTTAATTTTTTTTTTTACTGATTTTTTTGTAAAAATATTTTATCTATGAAAAGCAAAAAAATTAATCTAACTCAATTTTTTTGATTTGTGGAGATAAAACAAAATAATTCTAACCTCGCGATATATATATATATATATATATATATATATATATATATATATATATATATATATATATATATATATATATATATATATATATATATAATATTATTATTATTTCTATTCTACAATAACAGTTTGAAATTTCTATGAGCTGGGAATCTATCCAGACCCAGCTATAGTAGACCAACGAACAATTGAATTAATCCATTTGTCATAATTAATTTTGCATTGGTCAACTGTCTTTGAAGCATCAACAAAATCTGGTAGACAATTCCAATAAGGTACTACACGATTGCATAAAAAATTATGTCTGGCTGAATTTAGTAAACTAGTAAACTCTCAATGAATTTTGAATTTTGCATCGCGTAGACCACCAACTGGGCCATTGACTGTTAATGGGCTGAGTGTATAATTCTGCCACTTAACTATATTAAAGTTTTTGGAAATATATATTTTATATATATATATATATATATATATATATATATATATATATATATATATATATATATATATATATATATATATATATATATATATATATATATATATATATATATATATATATATATATATATATATATATATGTATATATATATATATTATATAAATCAACTTATAAAGTCATTTTGAACAATCTTACTTAACACATGCTCAAAGCCTTGGTGAGTATGATACTCATATATAATACATATATGATACATATGTAATGAATGAATAAAAATGATACTCAGCATCATTTTCATTCATTTATTATATTTGTATATATACATATATTTATTTATTTGAAATAAAAAACTTATGAAATCACATAGAACAATCTTACTCAACACATGCTCAAAATCTTGGTGAGTATCATTTTCATTTATTTCAATGTCACGAATAAATATACTGTAATTTGTAATATGTAATATGTAAACTTGTTTTTTGAACGACAACCCTAGAGAAGATGCACTGAAGGTACATTAGCGCATATAAACGCATGCGCTAAACTTTTTTCGGTCTGCGTTTTTATAAAAACACTAAATGTACCTTCAGTGCATCCTTTATAGTGCTGTCCAAAACTTTGAAGGTAAAATATGTTATTGTTCACATTATATATGTATATATATGTATATATATATATATATATATATATATATATATATATATATATATATATATATATATATATATATACATATATATATATATATATATATATATATATATATATATATATATATATATATATATATATATATATATATATTATATATATATATATATATATATATATATATATATATATATATATATATATATATATATATATATATATACATATATATATATATATATACTTTTTTGTTTTTGTTTCAGAAACTGATCTGACTGTTCTTGGCTATCATTATGATACACCTGAAATAACAACAGCTCGTCATCTGCCCCCACATGAAAAACTAGGAAACGAAAGTCAGCACCTAAAACTTGGGCACAGAATGTGAGAAAGCAGCTAAGACAGTCTGGTCAGCCGTATAAAAATAGAAACGGAGAAAATATTCCATGCAAGTCTGTAACCAAAAAGAAAGACTGTCTAAATTCTTGTAAATTCAGATGCGCACAAAATATTAGTGATGAAGAAAGAACACGTATATTTGCTGATTTTTGGTCTATGGACGACATGCAAAAGAGACTTCAGAAGAAACGTCATCGACCCATCAATGAAAATTCGCGAAAAGCGTATTCATTTTATTATAGCTTTTTTGTTGGTGATTTGCAAACTCGAGTTTGTAAAGAATTTTACTTCACAACTTTAAATATAAGTATTAGAAGAGTTTATTATCATCATGAAAAAAAAAAAAAATACTACTGGAAGCCCAGCCCTTTCAAAATGGGGGAAACACACCAAAAAGGTCAATCATCAAAACAAAGCGTTACAGATCATATCAATGCATTTCCACGTGTTCCATCACACTACTGTCGTCAAAGAACAGAAAAAGAATATTTTGAAGCTTTTTTAAATTCTAATAAGATGTATGAACTTTATTTAACCTGTGTGAAGAAAAGAATATTGCCCCTGTTAAGAAGCATTTGTATAGATTCATATTTGATCATCACTTTAACATTGAATTTCAGAAGCCAAAAACTGATTTATGTGATACATGCTATGAATACCGCAATCTAGTAAATCCAACTGAGGAACAAACCCAAAAGTTTACCAAACACATTATTTCTAAGAATGAAACTAAAGCAGAACGAGATAAAGACCGCAAAATTATAGATAAAAATGTGACTGTAGTATGTATTGACCTTGAAAATGTAATAAGTTTACCAAAATCAAATGTGGGAGCATTTTTTTACAAACGAAAACTTTCAGCTTATAATTTAACTGGGCATTGCTCCATAAATAAAAAAGGTTATTGTATGCTTTGGCATGAAGGTGTTTTGGGTTGTACAGGCAATGACCTTGCAAGTAGTGTAACATGCTTGCTAGAAAAGATAATTGCAGACCACTCTGATGTTAATAAACTCATACTATGGTTCGATTCCTGTGTGCTTCAAAACAGAAATAGTCACATGTCCATTGCCTTGCGTCAGTTTTTGATATGTTACCCAAAAATTAGAGTAATTGAGCAAAAGTTTTTTGAACCAGGACATTCTAGTATACAAGAGGTTGACAATATCCACAGTCAAATTGACAGAGCACTTGCTCTTCTTGAAATATTTAGTCCTTTAGGTTTAACCAGAGCAATTTCTGCTGTTCAAGGGAAGAAATTCTTTTTTTGTCTACCAAATGAAAAGATTGGATTTCAAACATTTTTCAGCTATTGCAAGCTATTTCAATTTTAAGCTTGTTCCCTATAGCCAGATAAAGCATCTGGTTTACAGAGCAGAGTTTTCAGATCATGTATATTATAGAAAGTCGTTTTCAGATGTTTGTTCAGAAGCACGAATTAGGCGTCTTCCTAACAATCCGCGCTCTTTATCATCTGTGATAACAAAACCTCTGGCAGTTGTACCAATGGCTTCTGCTTTGAATCAGTGTACTCAAATTTCAAGTGATAAAGCCAAGGACCTTAAAAGTATGTTCAAGTATATGTCTGCTGTAGACGTTGCATTTTATAAAAGTATTTTAAAATAATTGATTTTATTGTCTAAATATTTGTATTATATGTTATGTTGTTAAATGGACTTCTTTCTGAAATGTTATATTTTTAATGGATTAACCAGATATGCTTGATTTGCCTAATTTGAGATATCATTTTACTGTGCAATGTACTTTAGATGTTATGTTATTGGAATTTATAACTTAAGTTTTATTTCATTGTAAAGATCTTAAGATAATATATTATTTATCTTCTCTGTTTTGACAAAAAAACGTATTCATGTAGTTTGTTCACTTGTGTAAAATAATTTTTTTTTCAAATAAAGCAAATATGTACCTTAGAGTACTTTTATTGCCAAAATATAAATTCATCTTGCAACAATATATTAATTTGTAATATGTTTTTTTACACGAAATGGAGATAGAACAAAATAATACTGTATTTTACAAAAAAAGTGTGTATTACATTGTTCTCCAAATCAAGGTGTAGTAAATAAGACACCTGCAATTTAAATATTTTAAAACAAATTCTTTTAAACTGTGGTAGCCTATATGGGAAATTGATAAAAATCGGTTTTGTTTGCGTTTTTTATCTTATTTGGTCTGCAGGTTCTTTTAAAACTTTGAATTTAATTTTCTCAATTCGGAAAAAAATGGAGATAGAACAAAATAATTCTAACCTCGCGATATATATATATATATATATATATATATATATATATATATATATATATATATATATATATATATATATATATATATATATATATATATATATATATATATATATATATATATATATATATATATATATATATATATATATATATATATATAGAGAGAGAGAGAGAGAGAGAGAGAGTCTAATATTAAAACAAGTATATTACAAAAAACAAATAAAATTTAAGAGCATGCTAATGGAAAGAACAAGAGTTTTTAATAGAAGGTATACCTTAATTTAATTTTGACTTTTCTGCTTCCAAAAGTGTGCACGATTTTAATTTCATTATTATATCCATTCATTTTAATTCTAAACGTGTGCGTGATTTAAATTCCATTAATTTTAATTTCAAATATGTGAGTGATTGAGGAAAGTTTTTGATAACTTTATTAAATTGACGTTTAGCCAGTTTAATTAATAAAGTTATGAAAAAATAAGTTTATTAAATTACAAAATTTTCTTATCGTCCGTTTAATTAATGAAGTCTTGCATATTTATATTACTTTTTAATTATTATTTTTATTTATACTGTGTTACCATTTTAAGGTATTGTTTTATAATTTAAAGTACTTAGGTTCATTAATTTTTAAAAGTTGTACATAACTTTTAATATAACAAAGTTAAGTTAAAACATTTTTTTAACTTAATTTTAGGTTCATTAATGTATTAAATATTTTAGTTATACTCTTATTAAAATAATCATTTTTAAGTGTTTGATGAGTACTTAAAAAGTATTCAATTGCGTTTTTTTTTTTTTTTAATTAAATTCCGGGGACAAATTTCTCAATCCCGAAATCACGGGATTGAAAATTTCCGGGATTTTTGCCATCCCTAATTATATGGTTGAAAAGCCAGTTCAATTTTATTAAAAGTTAGCTAATAAAATAAAAATTAATTGTTTAAATGCAAATCACTAAGTTTTTAAAAACTTAAAAACCACCTTAATTTAAGATTAACGGAAATTTTCATGGTATTGTTTTCAGCACAAAATCTGCGTACTCATTGGCGCTTTAGAAAAGGTAAGGGATTTTATATAAAATGACTCCACAACAATAAATTATAATAAATATTATCTTTTTTGTTCAATTTTATCAAGAACCACTATTGGTTTTAAATGTTCAGCAAAAGCTTTCATCTCCTCGCACAATGAATCTTGTTGAACAAGAGTATGAAGAGTTAACTCAACTAAATACGAATCTGTCATTGGCATAATGTTTGATAAATTACCTCTCTCTGGAATTTTATGTAATCGAGATACATTTATTCGCATAGGACCTTTATAAAATGAATATCCCCGTAAAAGAGTTTCATAATCAAACTGAAAGCCTAATTGTTCTAAGTAGGTAGATATATTATCACTTGTTTCTACTTCTATTATTGAACGCATAGTAGCAGCTCGGTTTAGATTCATTCCCTCAACATTACCTAGAAGAAAAAAAGTTAATCTTTCATTCAGAGTTTTCAAGGTCGTTTAGACCTGTAATAGACTGTGATGGCAACAAACGTGATAGCATTAATTAACTCAGTTTTATATTAATACTATTCTAAATTAAATTTCTATTCACTGATACATTTTAAATTTCATAAAACATTTAAGTTATAACCATGTAACGATTCCAAACGTCTCAAAATAAGGAGAAAACCTATAAATGAATATAATTTTAGTTTAAAAAAGTAACAACATAAAACTCAGCAAATTATTCCCTCATTTAGGGTGGGTTGCAAGGTTTGGCGTTTTTGTTGTTCCTAGGCTCCTACCACTACAAGTTTTGCAAAGTATTCTTTTTACATTTTAGAATAAACATAAACATATATATATATATATATATATATATATATATATATATATATATATATATATATATATATATATCGATAATTAAAGATCTACCAAGATATTGAATCCGATGAGCTTTTTCAGGGTTCAACAAAGACCTCTTCACACTTAATGAAACTGTAACAGCTCCACTTGTTTGATTCTAAAACAATTACTTGAAAAAAAGTTATAAAACTATAGATCTGAATCAGAACAAAACTTATTAAAATTTATTAAATTAAAAAATTACTTTGATAATATAGATAGCCTCATGATCTTCATACATTGTTTCTGATAGTACAGCATTATCACATAAACCCTTTAAACGATGCAGCAAGAACTTAAAATTACTAGCAGGTACACTACCAACTAAAATGTACTGAATTTGATTTTTATTTTGAATATTCATTACCTAAAAATTCACAACAATTGCTTATACAATAATTCCAGGTCAAATAACAAGCATTTGATTAACAGCTAAAACCATAAATATTTTAATTATAAAATACTAAAAAGTAGATACTCAAAATAAAAAAGTAGATAATCAGCAGTATTATCCTAAAATGAAAAATAAAAAACATCAACCTTGAATTTATGAAATAATCGAAAAGTCTCCAAAAATATACATATATTTTTGAAATATAATACTAAAAAATACACATCTATGTTATTGTTTTCTGTTTAAAACTATGTAACAACATAAAATTATACAAATCTTATTTGTTTAATTATTACTATAAAAATTTAAACATAAAATTTTGGACTCAATCAACTAGATAAAAATACTATGTTTATGTAAATATATATTATACTAAATAAAAAATATGTTACAGCAACATAAATAATATGTACATGTAAACTGGAAGAATCAAATTATCATTTTGAGAAGAAAAAGTCTCTAACATTGATACTACAAAACATACAAAACTCAACATACAAATACTTATAAATGAAATATTAATACTTAAGCCTTTTAGAAGTATAATTGAAAATAAAAATTGAGATAAAAAACAACAAAATGTTCCAATATGTGATTTATTACTTCCTGACCATTTTGATTTTCCATATAAACTCCCAAAAATTGAGGCAAATGAATCACCTATTCCCAGAGATATCACTCCACTAAAGATACTTAATGATTTTAAACTGTTACTCTGCAAAATTGAGTATGGTGTTAACCAAAACGGCAACGACAAGCCCAATATAAGGTAGACATGACTTAAAATAAACTTACCACTGTCATTCTCATCTCGAAATGGTTCTAAAAAATTGTTCAAAAAAAGTCCCACAGTGTTTTTTTTAACCCTCATAATCTCTGTGACAATAAAAGCATAAAATACTAAGCTAGAAATGAGAGCAAGTAATTCTGACTCTGACCATCCAAATAAATAAATAAAAAGTGCAATAAAATGAAAAATTTTCCGTATCACTGTTTTTGGTATTTTATTGGTTTGTGCAGTCAAGGCATACCAATAAACAACAACAAGAGAAAAAAATACAAGAAAACACCAATACAAAAGCAGAATCCACTTTGATTCAAGAAGTAAAACAGTTTTAATTAATACTAAATTTATTTTTTGCAGAGATATAGCATAATATAAAGTTAAGATAAATATCATCATTAACAACAAAAAAGGTAAACACAAAATTATCAAAAAACAATCTGACATTATTAGAAAAATCACTGGAGCAATTAAAAGAAGCGCTAGCTCTAAAACTATTGAAAGTTTGATATTTTCCAGACAAAACATATTTACATTTAAAAATCTAAGGTGAAGATCGAAGAAAACTATCCAAAAACATTGAAAAAGGAATGCAACTTCTGTAAATGTGAAACTTTTATCGGAAATAAACACAAAAATACCAAATGATATTACAATGACCAATATAAATACAAACACAATAAATATACTATATTCTGTTTTTGGAAAATTTATATATGTTAGTATTACTAAAACACCGTTTAAACCACTTGTAACCAAAGCTGTTGAAACCATGAAATTCGAAACAATCAATATGATTGTTGTTATAAAATGCAAAGCAAATTGAAATAATCTTGCTTCTTCCACATTTTCTAAATAAAAACTACAATTTGAAGTTTGAATAGCAGCCACTGAAAGTAATGTAAGGTTGGCATAAACAAAACCAGAATTTTGTGAGTTACTCAATTTGAAGAAGTTTTTCAAACGATTGCAATTGAATTGCTCAAGGATTATTACAAGTGATGTATTTAAAATGATAACTGCTGACCATAAAGTGCAACATGTAATACCAGAAGTTCTTAAAATAACAAAAATCGCTACAAAAATCCCAATTATATTTTCGGTCAAAAACTTAACGTTCTTTAATTTTTCGCACATTTTCCCAGTAGAAATTCTTAAATTTTGTAAATAATTTATTAGCAGTATTATTAGTTTTAATCAAAGATTTCACATTATAAGTTGAACTTTGAATTCAAAAAATTTGTGAACCTGAGCTTCTTCAAACTTTTATAGTTAATTTAATTTCTTTTGTAAAAGTGGTTTCCTTTCTCGTTTCTCGTTTTATAATAGTTAAGAGGTCGTGCACAATTTACGTGACGTAATTTTTGACCGTTTCTCACACCCCTCCACCCTCTGTCTTCACAAAGTCGGCATTGATGATGAATTTGCTGCGTATAAATTTTTTGTTTTAAATATATTTTGATATTATTATATTTTTACAATATTTCGCTGACCTATAGTGGTCAGTACCATCAGGTGTAATAAAAAGAAACGTTACAAAAATTGTTATAAAACTACATAAACCAAACCGTCAAAAATAGTTTTTAAATAATATAATGGTGTCAGTTAAAACTTTGACCAAAATGGTTTACAAGTTCTCTTGTTTCTATTCATTTTTCTATTAAATTTTCCATTCTTTTTTGAAGAAGATTTTTCGTTTTTATTTCGTATCTTCAAGTTTTATTTTTTCTTCGTTTTTGTGTGAATTTCTTTGCCGTAAGTTGCATATATTTATTTTACGTTACAGGCGTAAAAAAAAAGAAGACATTAAAGTATATGATTTTAAAAGATTTTAGCAATAATATATTAGGAATTAATTAATTCCTAATATATCATTGCTAAAATCTTTTAAAAGATTTTAAAAGATTTTAGCAATGTTGAATATAAAATATGTTGAATTTCATTAAGAAGGCTGCGAATAAATTTTTTGTTTTAAATATATTTTGATATTATTATATATTTACAATATTTCGACCTATAGCGGTCAGCATCATCAGGTGTAATAAAAAAAAAAATCGTTACAAAAATTATTACAAAACTGCATGAATTAAACCGTAAATCAAACCATAAATCAAACCATTGTAAAAGCAAAAGCCATAAATCAAACCGTTGCACTGCTACATCGATTGATCTATATATAGATTAGGGATGCACCGAACATTCGGCTGTTTTGCCTAACGTTCGGTTCGGCCGAACCTTGACAAATGTTCGGCCATAGTCATAAGAAATATATAGTCTTGAAGCAAACAATAGCGCTTTGTTTATTTATGTTTTTGTTCCAGAAATTACTCGTTCTCATTCTTCCGAAGGTGCACAGTAAACAAAAACATCTCAAAGCGAAAGTATCCCAGTGGGCAAGCGTCGTCCGGAGGACGTCTGCTGAACGTCTCATGGACGTCCAGACGTCCGTAAGACGTCCAATGGACGTCCCCCGGACGACGCATGCACACTGGGATCGATCTTCTTTTTTTCTTGTTACTTTTACATTAAATTTAAACAACTGTAATTTATTTTAGTGAACTGATTACAATTTTCTTTATTATTATTTGTTCTTGCAAACTTGGCATTGTTAAAAAAAAAAAGATTTATTCAAAATTATGCAAAATTACATTGTCCCATGTCAGTAAGACGTTGTCTAATATTACTAAGAAAGTTCATAAGTCTATGATATAAATTTTCTTTAGCCTAAAATATGACTTTAAATTAACTATAAAAATTAAAGACAAAAAAACAAAAATTACATACATAGATATATACATATATAAATATATACATATATAAATATATGCAAATATATATATATATATATATATATATATATATATATATATATATATATATATATATATATATATATATATATATATTTATTCTTATGACTATGGTTCGGACGAACATTTGCTAAAAATGCTAATTCGGAAATTAACATCATCAAATCATCATAACTCAGCCTAAATAGCTACAGTACCAATAGATATGGTTTTTTATTGAAAACCCGATTCTTACCTACTACGCATAGTAGGTAAGAATATGTTTTTCAATAGAACACATCAGTATGTTAGATTTATATCAAGTTTTTTCAAGTTAGAATGAATTTAATTTGATCGCATGTATTACTTAAAACCGAATGTATTACATAAAACTAGTTTACATTATTTAAAAAAAATAGTACTAAAATAAGTGTAAAATAAAAAACCCTTTTATTTGAGCAATATTTTAGTTAATTTTATCCTTTTATATACAATAATAATAATTAAACTTAACTTAAGTTATAAAATTCATGCAAGAAGCAAATTTTATATTTTGGAAAAATCGCAAAAATGTAATAATAAAAAATAAACTTTAACCAACAGATAAAAACGTCCGTTTTAAGTAACGTTTATTGCTGCTGTGTTAAAAAAAATCTTTACAAAAAAAGTTCCTCGTAATTTGGCTACTCAACTAGTTGAACTAAGAAAATTATTTGAAAGGAATAAACTTGGGAAAAAATGTTACTGTGATGATCAAAAACATAAAAATGCTCCAATTTATTATGTAGTTGTTACTATATAACTATATAACATATACTATTATGTTATTATTATATAACTAAACATGCAATAGTAGTAATATTAGATAAAACAACAATTTTAAACTTTCACCTAACAAAATAATCGATTATTGAAAAAATAAAACATTGAAAACATGAGTGAAAATCAATTATCATTTGTTGTTATAATGAATAAACATTAATTTTTTGCCACTTTCCGGTGATAGTCTGTTTCTATTAGGTTCGTAAATGATGCCACCTGTACTAAAAAACTCTTCAAAATCAGAATCAGAGGATTCAAGTTCTAAATTACTTTGTTGCATTTCTTGCATCTGTTCATTTACCCAATTTTTTATTTTATCCTTGTCTGCCTTTTGATATATCAAGTTATATCTAGGGTCACAAAAAGTGGAAAGACATGAATATTTATCATGTAAATATGGAACCAATCTTTTGTCTACTGACCCACTTAAATGTTCAACTAAAGTATTTATTGTTAAAAAAGCCTCACATACTAATGCTTGATTAAAAAATTCTTCCTGAGCCATAATTGAAGGAATAACATCTGACAAATATGACTCGCGTTCACTGAAATTGATAGTTAAAGTTTTAAATGGTTCTAAAATATGCAACACTTTATCTAATAAGCCCCATTGAAATGAATTTAGTGTTGATTGGGTAGGATGATCAGCTGTATAAATTGCCAAAGGAACTTTTTGATCAAGCATCCTTTCAATCATATCATAATAACTGTTTCATCTTTTAGTAATATCTTGGATTAACCTGTGCTTATTTGTACCAAGTTGTTCCTGAATTGATTCTAATTTTGCTGCTGCTATTGGCGAATGGTAAAAATGAGTTGCCAGACGTCTGCAACAAGCTAAAATATCCAGATTAAATTATAACAGATTTTTGCGACAAAATTGAGTAATGTATGCATAACTGTATTGTATGTATAAAACATGGCATTGATCTAAAACCACTGTCTCTTACATCAGCTCTCATATTGGCCGCATTATCTCGTAAAACATTATGAATTTTGTGTGTGGAATTTCAAAACTTACTAAACCTTTATGTAAATACTCACTTATGTTTTTTCCTGTGTGACTTTCTGGAAAATGCATAACTCTGAGTACTGCTCTGTGCTGGGAAAATTCATTACTGAGCCAGTGTGCTGTCATGCTTATGAAGGCAACATTTGAACTATTTGCTGTCCAAATGTCAGTTGTAAGAGAGATATGAATGGCAGCAGATATATTACTTTTGATAGAACTAAATAGTTTATTATATATTTGTGGAATAATGTTTTCACTAAAATATCTTCTACTAAGTATATGATAATTAGGACACAGCTCTTCAATTAAGTTTCTAAAACCAAGATCTTCTACAATCAAATATGGTTGAATGTACAACACCATCATTTCTCCAATGTGATTGTGATTTTTAATAGTTCTATGATCATTTACATCCCGCAATAATTTTTTATTAGGACTCTCCAGTAATGTTAATTGTTTTTTTAATTCAGAATCACTTGATGTAGAGGCTGTAGTTGATGTAATTGTTTCAATTTTTTTTTGTCAGACTCTTTTTCAGCTATTTTATATTCTGCAAAGTGCTTGTTTTTTAAATGACGTCTAATTGCACTAGTGGTAAATGTTTTAGGACAATCCTCTAGCAATCACCTCTAGAAGGTAATGCTTTGCATAGTACCTCTAGAAACTCTAGAAAGTAATGCTTTGCATAGTAGGCAAATATAAAAATGATTATCTTTCTTTGAAACTTCAAAATACTTCCAAAAAATACTTTTAAATTTTATTTTTGAAAACATTTTTTTAAGCTTCTAAATAATTAAAAATATATACTAATTATAAATAAAGTTTAACAAAAAAATATAATCTTAAAACATGCCAGGTATTTGGTTTTAATATCTTATGTTATACCTTTATTTTTAAGAGAGTCTCAATAGACGTTTGAAATGAAACACGGGTGATCGACATGGAGGATTTTGACAGTTTATGAAATTGCTTAACCAGCATGTAATAGTCCATACAATTCAAGAGCTTCAACAGCTTGCCTGCAATCAGCCAGTCCGCCGTGACCAACGCGACTATGGTGCAATTGAAAAAATTGTTGTTTTGAGAAAAAACTTCAAGACGGATTTTGGACAACTGAGAGATTCCTATCAATAGTATCATATCTCTTTCAAAACTTTAAAGTAGTGTAAGATAATTTTCCAAGTTTTTGTATAACACTTCTCATTTATTAACCTTTATCAATTTTTTTACCAAACTAATTAGTTTAACTTTATTTGATAATATGTTATTTTCCATGAAATATGGAAAATTGTATTTGAAGTTTTTAAATATTTTTAGTGCTTTGGATGAAAACTCAATGAACGAGGTTGGTGAGAGTCTTTCTTTGCCAACTTCTACTTCAACAGAGTCACCAAAGTGCGTTGTTTGTACCGTCAATGAACGAAATGCATTAGTAATGCCTTGCAGACATTTTTTGTTTTGTCAGCCCTGCATTCAACAAGTCCAAAAAAGCAACACAGCTCATTGTCCCACTTGCCGAGGACCAATATCATCTATAATTGAACCTTTTCAATGATTTAGTAAAATTTTCCCTTTTACCTATATTTTAAAAACTAGAATGTCACACAATTGTTTAAATTTATTTTAAAAAATTTATTATATAAAAGCGGTATAATTTTTTTCCTATTGCTCCGCCTGGAATAAAAAATAATCAATAACGTCATTTTTTAGTTTACATAAATGACTTTAAATTCCATTTGGGCCTACAAGATTTTCCGTAAGTTGGCGTATTGTATTGGTTTCAGTTGAGCAAACCCCATATTACGTTAAGGATAAGTACTAAATAAATTTCATCACCCTAGAAACAATAGTCATTTACATGTTAAAGTTATTGTATAGATAAATGTAGCATAAAATTCTACAGCTGCTTGTCTAGCAAATTAAATAAGTCTCCTTGAAGCAAGTGACAGTATCAACAAAAGACTTGTCGTGAGGGTTACTATGTTACGATTAGCACTTTCGTGTGCACAAGCGTGTTAGAAGCAACTTTTTGCTTTTAACTTTTTTTAACTAGGTTTTAACTTGTCTAGCTAGCTTTTAACTTGTTTAACTAGGTTAAAACTAAGAAGAAGAAAACGAGTGCTAAAATATTTTGGGGAGGGATCATAACTTGTTACAGTCAGCAAAAAAATATATAAAAATTAAACAAAAAACTATATAATTGGAAAGAGCTCGTCAAAAAGTATGTGAAAACCATACGCTGAAAATATTTCTTTTCCAAGATAACACCTTATAGATTATATAAAACACAGACCCAGATTTTACAGACCAGCACAAAACAGCTATAAAAAAGGATTTTTCATCCTTAACTTGCTTTATAATAAATAAGTATTTTGTTTAAAGAGTTGCTATTGATATAAATTTTCTATTAAAAGCTAGATTCTATTAAATTTATCACGTCCTTACTGTTGGTAGGGGTGGGGAAAGGGAGGAGATAATCGTGAGCGATTGACATCTTTTTTTTGACCAAATGCTCTTAGTTTCGCGTTATAAAAATTAATTAAGATTTTCTATTCTTGACCACAATTTTCTCCGAAACGACCAACCTAACCTCAAAATCTTTACGATATGGGCTTTTATATTTATAGATGGTTATTGATTGTACTTTTTAAAAAAAGAACAATCAATAACCTTCTATACATAAAATAAATTGTTAGAAGATAAGTAATTTTACTAATCTTCATATATTTTATTCACTAATATATTTTGATAATTTTTTTTTTATATAAAGTAATTGTTTAATAGTTCTTTTTGGAATTTTATGTTTTGCTTACATAAACTTCATATATTTTATTCACTAATATATATATATTCTTCAAGTTAGTCGAGTTTCCTAAAACGCCTTACAAAATATTTTATGAATATAATTTGCAAATAATATATTAACAAATATAATTGAACATGGGCTACGTCATGGGGGTATATCTTCATTGGCTACGTCATGGGGGGGGAGGGGTCAAGGAGGCATTTTCCCTCCCCGTCCATCAGAATTTGTAGTAAGGACGATTTTTTTTTTTTTGTAAAGTAAGTGTTTAATAGTTCTTTTTGGAATTTTATGTTTTGCTTACATAAAATATTTAGTTAACATTCAAGGCAGTGCGCAGTGGGCCAGTAGAGAGCAAAAATTAAAAAAATGAGCAAAACCAACCTTTAACAATTCAAAAATTTTTAATCTTTTTTGAAAGTGAGTAACCTGAAGAAAATTTAAATGGTTGTAATATTATGTTTTAGTAAATAGAATTATTGTTAAATTGATTTTATATTGTTAATATTGTTAAATTGATTTTATATGTAGTTATTAATTTTGATTACTTTTTCATGTTTCTGGCCCACTGTGCAGTGGGCCTAAAATCATTTTGTTAAAAAATCACTAAAGGGCAAATGTTTTCAAGCATTTAAACAAAGGCGATCTTTTTTATTATTTCCAAAAGATGTCACTAATATTTCTAAGATACAACACGTTATCTATGATAAAAACAACATTGTTGTTGCAAATGATAAATAACATTATTTATAACTGCGTCACTTGGATTCGATTTACAATTTAAGCGGATAAAGAAGCTTGAAAATAAGTGAAGTTTGAACTGTATTTTATGAAGTGCACCACCACTTTTGTGAAATATTATGTTCATAGTTTTGTCATTAACATGGATTTGTGAGTTTTATCATACTTCGCTTTAACGCGTTGCAACGCGTAAAATTAAAATATAATAAAGTTCGGGTATAATGTGACTCTTTGTTCACATTTCCATGTTAACGAAGAAACTATTTGCATGATATTTCATAAAATTAGTGGTGCACTTCATAAAATAGAGTTCAAATTTTACTTATTCAGGGTTTGAGCTATTACTGAAAAATTTTCAGAATTTTTTTTTGCTTATTGTTATAAGTTTAACGTCATGGCTCCCGGCCCTAAATGAGAAAAATGTTTCTTCTTAGACTTTTACATATATTCTTGATATTTATAAATGTAAATGAATCTTTACTCTGACAGTTTGAAAAACGTCTTTTTCATTCGATTTCATGCGATTGGGCCAAGAACAATCAAAGTTCTGTAGAAGAAATTAGACCTAATATTTTTACCTATTTTCTTGTTATTTATAAATGTTAATGAGTTTGTTTACCCTGACCGTTTGAAAAAACTCTTATTTCTTTATCTAAAGTTAATTTTTACGGTTTAAACGAAGCTTTTATAGATTTTGATCCAATTGCCCCAAATGGGTAAACGAGGAGTGGAATTCTTACCTAGCGGCCCCTAATATGAGAATAATAATTTGTAGAATTGAATGCTTTAGTAAAAAAGAAAACAATAAAAATAATTCAGCATAAGTACTTCAATGAAATTCCTTCTTGATAGCATATGAAAAATAAATTTATTATCAAATTTAGTGCCATAATTCCTTTAGAAAAACTCAACAAATCTTGACGCAAAATAGGCGTTTTTGAGCCCAACATAGATTGTCATAACTTGGGAACCAGTTATCCAAATTTAAAAGATGAACACATTCTGAAAGCTTCTTCATTATCCGCATATAATGGTATTAATTATAACAAGAGATAATTGTAATAGTAAAGTCGTGTGATGTGCCTACTGTAAATAAAATCAATACATTTTGTTTTGAATCGTTTTATAAATAGCCAACAACACAACATTCAATATTTTTTGTTCTACTAATAGAGCTTTTTGTTTATATTATACAACTATACAGTGTAATTACTACACTTTAATTAAAAACCGCAAAAAACCGCAAAAAACTGCCGTCTATTTATTCTGCTTTTGGAATTTTCAAACCTATTATTTAATACTATTATTAAAATTCATATTATTAAACCTATTATTAAAATTCACCTTTTCGATATTATTCCTTTTTCGATATTATTCCTTTTTCGATTTTATTCCTTTTTTCACAGTTTCGATATAATTTCGGAAAGTCCCGTTTTGATATTGTTCCTTTTTTTACAATTTCGATGTAATTCCGTTTTATTGAAATTTCGATACTATTCCTTTATTCACACTTTCGATATTGTTCCGGTAAGTCTTTTTTCAATATTTTTCTCTTTTGAGCTGTTTCAAGATTATTTTGCTTTTAGGATTTTCGATACTAATCCATTTTTAACAAACTCGAAATGTTTTCTTTTTCGATATTATTCCGAAAAGTCCCTTTTTGATATTATTCCTATTTTCACAATTTCGAGGTTATTCTATTTTTCGGATTTTTGATACAATTCCTTTTTTTGCAATTTCGATGTTATTCTCTATTTCGATGTTATTCTGGAAATTCCATTTTCGAGATTAATCAGTTTGGCTGTTTTCGATACTGTTATTGCTACCCATATATATATATATATATATATATATATATATATATATATATATATATATATATATATATATATATATATATATATATATATATATATATATATATATATATATATATATATATATATATATATAATTTTGTCCTTAATGTTTATAAACTTAATATATACCAAGTTATGCTTTTTACGTTTAAATCAAAACATGCGTTATTTTCTAATATATTTCACTCTTTCTTTGCAGGAACATCTCATTAATACCCATCTGATAATTTTGTTATTCCAAGATCTTATTTAAAACTCAATTCATTTCAAATTCAATACCGTGGACCATTTGTATGGAAAAGTTTTTTAAAAAACATTATTAAAGATAAAATTCTTCTAAAAACAATTCTAAGAACATCTCCTTTGAACAATTTAAAAGAGAATCTAAACGTTTTCTATTAGAAAAAAACTTCAATATTTATTGAAGTATTATTAATACTTCTTTTAAAAGTTCCTAAATTAATTAAACCTGAAAAAGTCATCACTACTCATTTATTGTTGTCTTGATGTCTATCTTTCTCATTAAAATAAAATATATATATATTATTAATTTTAAACAAACAAACAAAAAAAAAATTAACGATTTATTACTTGTGTTTTATACGTGTAGAACTAATATTGTATTTTATTTTTAGCTTTATAATTTTTAACTTGTAATTTGTGATGTCAATGTAAACGGGGCTTGGCGATAAGACAGTTTATGTCTTCTTCTTGCTCCGGCCATTTTTTATATATGTATGATCTTCCTCATTGTAAATTTTATTATACGGCAAAAAAAAATAATAATAATTGTAAAAAAAAAAAAAAAGAAACTGTTAAGTTTTTAAAACGTTATGAATCATGGTGCCTCATTAAATTATTTTCTTTGCACTCTAAAACAGACTCATTACATACTAAACATGCTGGCGCCGAAATAAATTTACCAAAATAGTATTCTTTTGCGAAACCATAATATGATAATACCAGGGCCGTTCCATAAAATAGAACCCCACAGCATCACCGACCCACCACCAAACTTGACTGTAAGTATCATATGTTGCATTAAAAACTTCTCATTCTTTTTTCTTAAGACCTTCTTCTCTTTGTCAATTGCAGTTCAAACTTGCATTCGTCTGTCCAAATAACAGATTTCCAGACTTCGAGTGGCAACTTTATATGCATTTTAGCAAACGCTAGCCTCTTTCTTCGATTATTTATAGAGATGAATAGTTTTTTTTGCATCGCTCTACCGTATAATGCGACATCATTGAGACGTCTTCTAATTGTTTGAGGAGTAAATGCCAAATTTAATTCGTTTTTAAGTTCTATTGAACTGTTTGGCGTTTCAACCGATGTTCTAACGATCAGCCTATCATCTCTTGCAGTTGTCTTCCTTGGTCGACCTAATCTAAATAATTCTGCTGGTTCATTTGCTTAACAATCATCCTTTCACCTTCTGCACTCAATCCAAATATCTTTGCTACTTCTCTCAATGACTTTCCTTCCTCCTTAATTAAACGATAAATTTCAATCCTGGTATCAGTCGAAATTTCACGGTGTGCCATCTCAAAAAAGTTTATTTCGTCAATATGCTGTTCAATACAAATAGTGACATTTAAAATGCTTATTTAAAAAATATTTAACTTAATTAAGCCATTATTCTGCTTATTTCATTAACTTACCGGTGATTATATATTAAAAAAAACTTGTCAACAGACTTTTGGATTTAGCCAAATTTATAAATCGTGATATATTAACTTATCTATTTATATTTTTTGGTATTATTGTAATACTTTTAAAAAGTAACTGTATCTCGAAAGGGAATTTTGCAATTTTTTGCTTTTCTTTTTGGTTTTTGATCGCGATACAGCAGTTTTTCACAAAATATACGCCTGTCAACTCACTTTTGAGCGTCATTGTATATATATATATATATATATATATATATATATATATAAAAGGTTTACCTGCCGATACCCATGGTAAATTAATTAGGCCCCCGGTTATTTAGTATTATTATGGAAATAAAATTTAAGGTATTAAAATTGCATTTATAAGTTATGCTTTTAAAATTTATAGCATTAATTCGACGTTATTTTTTTTGAAATAAATTTAACTTTCTAAAAAAGAATTTTTTTTCCGAAATAAACTAATCTTTTCTATAATTTTATTTTTGAAATTAATTTAGCTTATCAAATATCTTTTGGTTTTTTTCGAAATCAATTGCACACTTCGAAATTCTTTTTTTTTCTTTCGAAAATAATTTGACTTTTCAAAATACACTTTTTTTTTCGAAGTTAATTTGACTTTTCGAAACTCTTTTTTTTCTTTCGAAATAAATTTCCCTTTTCGAAATCCACCTTTTTATTTCGAAGTTAATTTCACAATTCGAAATTCTTTATTTCCTTTCGAAATTTATTTCCTATTTCGAAATCCATCTTTTTATTTCGAAATTAATTTCACGTTTTTAAATTTTTTTTTCGAAATTAATATGGCTAGTTCGATTATTTTCGAAAGTTTTTTTAGTATTTCGATAACGTTTTAATCGAAAATTTTCGAAAATTGCAATTTCGATAATAAACCCTAATTTAAAACCAATATTTATATTTAAATAGCAAAAGTTCGGTATTCGGTTCGATGTTCGGCCGAACTTTCATGGCCGAACGTTCGGATTCGGTGTTCGGCCAAAAACCTGGTTCGGTGCATCCCTAATATAGATCAATCGATGTAGCAGTGCTCTCCGACATCTCTTCCCAAATCAGTAATATATCTGGTCTTCGTTTTTTTGAAAAATCAAAACCTCATTTTAAATCATAGTATCTTTCGCTTACCATCAAAGTTAGACATTTATTGAATATAATATATCATTGCGAAAATCTTACAAAAGCTTGGTTTCCAATAGTTGTAAAATGTCGTACAACAATTGTACTACAATAATGTTTTATAATTTTATTAAAAAATTTTTAATCTAATTATTTTGATTTCATTTTTTCCCATACAAAAAGTTTGAGTTATCCGAAGAAATTTGCCGAAAGGGGACAATAAAATGGTTTGACTTAACGAAGTTCAAGTTATCTGATGTTCGACTTAACCGGAGAATTTTAATAGTAATCAGTTAGACAATTTTAAGGGACCAAATAAAATAGTTCGAGATAATAAAAGTTCGAGTTAACCGGTGTTCGACTTACCGGGAATTAACTGTATGTACTGCAATTTTACATTCACTTATGGTTTGGACTGTTTTTCATTATATCGATATATTTATCAAAATGAGATTATATAAAACTTGAAACAAATTTATCATACTTTGCCATTCTAAGCTGATATTATAAAACTGGACTAAGTATTTGGTATAAGACTCTCACTTGGAAATATGCAACCTGTAATCCAAAACTTAAAAATATTGATCTTGCATCATAATTCCCTTAATGATGTAGAATTAATCCAAGCCTTTTCCATTTGCTACAGACTAAATAATAAGAATAAGGCTTTTCAATTTTTAAAACACAGTTAACCTGGTATTTTTCGGATTTTTTCGGATTTTTTCTTGAGAACATACGAAGTTATAATGTTTTAAATAAATGTTTCGAGTTTAATAATGTAATAAATGTTTATATAAAAAGCTGGAGATGTTTGTTTTAAATTTTTTTATAGCGGTGTAAGAGATGATTGCTAATTTGAAATTAATGGAAGTCAATGATGAAAATATTTTTTATTTTGCATATATTAGCTCCAAATGACCTTGGGGGCGAGACGTGTCATGAATTACAAAAAATAATTGAAAAAATGACAATATGAATGAAAAATAAATACTTTATAAATATATAACATTTAAAATACGTTAAACTTAAAATATTATATCAAATTTGTGTGACATGTGTTATTATCTGGGTATTTTTTCGCGCTTGTTTTGTGATTTTTTTGGAAAATAACTGGACCTTGAATTTGTAGGCAAGATGGTAATACTTGCGCGTTTTATTTTAAACTCCTTGAAAGAATAATTTACAATAGACTGTATAAATATTTAATAGAATACAAAATCTTAAGTGAAAATCAATACGGATTTCAAACGCAACATTTAACAGAACATACCATCCTAGATCTCATTAATAATATTACCACTTTCTTCAATGATGAGAAATTTGTATTAGGAGTCTTTATTGATCTTACAAAGGCGTTTGAAACAGTAGACCACGCAATACTACTAAAAAATGGAAAAATATGGCATAAAAAATCAAACTATAAATGGTTCGCTAACTACCTAGACAACAGAAAACAATGTGTTAGTATCGATCACTATAACAACTTGAATCAACTAAAAATCAAATGTGGGATTCCTCAAGGATCTATTCTAGCTCCTCTTCTATTTTTAATTTATGTTAACGACCTCCCTAAAGTCTCATCTAAGTTAGATTGCATAGTTTTTGCAGACGACACTAATCTGTTTTATTCTTCTAGCTCGATCAATGACCTCTTTATAACCACAAACTTAGAACTTATTAAACTCAACACATGGTTCAGAGCTAACAAATTGTCATTAAACTTAAACAAAACTAAACACATCTTATTTTACCCCAACTAAAAAAAAAAGGTACCCCATCAATTTTATCAACTCTTAGTATAGACAATACAATTATTGAACAAACTCAATTATCTAAATTTCTTGGTGTGCTTCTTGACGAGAATTTATCATGTAACTCTCACATAAATACCATTAATACTTAAATTTCAAAAAACATTGGCCTACTCTATAAAACTAGAAATTATCTATCGTTCAAAAAATTAAAACTTCTTTATAAACAGCTATCTATCATTCGCCAGTATAGCATGGGCAAGTACCCATAAAATTAAATTAAGCTCACTCTATAGACGGTAGAAACTCCTTTCAGGAATTGTATTTTATAAAAACAAACTGACTCGGGCAAACTTAATGATAACTAAGTTAAATAGACTTGCTCATGCTTTAAATAGCCAATAGGTAACACAGATTGTTATCAAATAAAAGTGTAAATAGGATAGTAGCTAGTTAGCGGTCAGTATAACTAAGTTAGTAGTAATTTATATTATGGCATAAATGCTATATTTTTAATTTCTCTAAATGAGTGCAAATGTGTTCCATCAAAAACATGAGGTTCAAATAAAAGAAATATTTTTATTTTATTATGACGATCTTTGCCAATAAATTAGGAAGGTATTCCAAATTAGTTAAATAGAGTCTTTTTTATTCTGTTTTATAGTTATTACTGTTGTTTGAATGTTAAAATTGTTGAAGTATGTATTGTTAAAACTATATAGCTGTAAAAATAAATTTAAAAAAAAAAAAAAAAATTAGTGGTAATAAAAATTTTCTATTCCTTTAACGCTAGGGTTGCCAGACGTCCGGCTTTTACTTCGTAAGATTCGTTTTTTTTTATTTCGTAAGACCTTTTACTTCGTAAAAGCCGGACGTCTGGCAACCCTAAATAAAGCTCTTTATAAAAAAAATCTTCTATTATTATAAAGCCTACGTAAAAGCAAATGCAGCAGCAAAAACTCCATAATCTTACAAGTTTCTAATACGCCAAGTAATGGCCAAAGATACTATTTCTAGATTCCAAAACATCTTTACTTTCTTATTATATATTCCTATATCATATCGATACAGGAAAATGAAATAAATACGAGCAAATATAGCGCAATGGTTAGCGCGATTGCCACAGTAGTTAGAAACCCATGGTTTAACGCCACCTCTAGGCAAGCTTTATAATATCGGTAAGGAAGTAGGGGTAAACTTCCTTTCAAATGCTCTTCCGTGGTTCTCTGTGATAAGACCGTAAGGATATCTTGGGGCATCTAAAGTTATCAGGAATGCATCTTCTGAATCTATAATTTGTCCCAAGAAGTCCTTACGGTCTTATCACACACACACACACACACACACACACACACACACACACACACACACACACACACACACACACACACACACACACACACAAATAAATATATATGTATATATATATTCTTATGATCTAGATTGGTCTATTCTTTTAAGAACATTTAGCACTCTATTTTGTAGAATTCATTTAAAATTATCTATATATCTACCTACCTACCTATCTACCTACCTACCCATCTATCTATCTATCTATCTATCTATCTATCTATCTATCTATCTATCTATCTATCTATCTATATATATATATATATATATATATATATATATATATATATATATATATATATATATATATATATATATATATATATATATATATATATATATATATATATATATATATATATATATATATATATATATATATATATATATATATACATGTATCCCATCTCTGAAGTGCGATTCCGGAAGGCCTTCAAAATACCCATTTACGGCTGCAATGACTTCTTCATGTGATGAGAAACGCTTTCCACGTAGAAATTTTTTGAGATGTGGAAAGAGGTGGAAGTCGGACGGAGCCAGATCTGGTGAATAGGGTGGATGTTCCAAGCTTTCGTACTTTAATTCGACCAATTTCGCCTTAGCAACATCGCTGATATGAGCAGGTGCGTTGTCCTGGTGATAAATGATTTTTTTATGCAGCAAACCAGGTCTTTTCTCACGAATTTTTTTATCCAACTGGTCCAAAAGATTTTTATAATATTCACCTGTTATCGTTTTACCGGTTTGAAGGTAATCTATTAATAAAATTCCTTTCGCATCCCAAAAAACTGATGCCATAACCTTCTTTGACGATTTTGACGCCTTCACTTGCTTCGGAGCTGAACAACCGGGTTCTGTCCACTCTGCAGTTTGTTGTCGCAGCTTCGGATCATAGTGGTAAACCCAAGTCTCATCCATGGTTACGAATCGACGCACAAAATCTGTTTTATTCTTTTGAAAACGGGCCAAATGTTCTTGAGAAAGTTTTACTCGAGTGCGTTTCTGATCCAGAGTTAGCGAATGCGGCACCCATCTTGCCAACAGCTTTCTCAGACGTAATTCATCGTGCAAGATGTGTAATACCCGTTCATCTGAGATGCCCACAGCCTCAGCAATTTCACGTTTGGTCAATCGTCTATCATCCATAACCATGTCATGCACAGCATTAATCGTTTCTTCAGTAGTAGCACTTTTTGGACGTCCAGAGCGAGGGTCATCTTCAAGGCTTGAACGCCCACGTTGAAACTCCGCAGCCCATTTGCATACTGTTGTTTTTGAAGGAGCATCATCACCCAACACATTTACCATTTCATTATGAATTTCCATGGGCTTTAAACCTTTTTTCACAAAGAATTTTATTACAGCACGATGTTCAATATTTTCCATTTTAAAAAATACTATGACACGTCTAATTTCAATAGCTTGTAAACAAAGACTGAAATGACGTATCGACTTGAAATTTTTATGCGTTCATACGAAGAATGAATACGTTTAATACAGTTATAAATTTGTTTCTACTACTGCAACATAGGTGCCGCTCCGCGAACTTTTCAACCAACCTAGTATATATATATATATATATATATATATATATATATATATATATATATATATATATATATATATACCATGAGTTAAGGTTACAGGGGAGTTAATTTATTTCACATTCATTTTAAGGGGAGTTGATCTATTTCTAAATAGATTAACTCCCCGGTTAACTTTTAAGCAAACCTTAATTTACAATAGAGTTTAATTTATTTCACGACACCGGCATACTGACGTCCTGACCTGAAAGTATAAGCCTACTGCTCATAGTTAAAACTCTTCAAGAGTTTGGGTCGAGTTAGTAGATACAATATAACGCTGAGTAAGTAAGTGGTAACGAGGCAAGTAAAACAGGATAGAACCTACTGTCAAAACAACGATCTTTGGATACGAAACTGGATTATATTTATCAAATCCAGCTTATTTTACAAATTATAGCGTGAAGAGTGTATTCATTTTCAAATAATGGTATGGTTTTTTCAAGAGATGTTATGCGAGTTTAATAAAGAGTAATATGAACAATATTGAAAATGCGGTTGAACTATTAGTAGTTCATTTTATGTATATTCATTTTAAGGATACTTTAATTTTTACTCAGGCGTTAGCTCACCCTTATTTTGTGTGTGTGTGTGTGTGTGTGTGTGTGTGTGTGTGTGTGTGTGTGTGTGTGTGTTTGTGTTCAGACATTTAAACTTTTTGTCTCAAAAACCATAAGATTTGAAGAAAAAAATCGTCAGTATCTCTAAACAAAAAAATTATAAAAAATAAATAGTTATAAAAATTATTTCATAAATAGAAGATATATGAGTGAAATTTTTTCAAAATTTAACTAATAAAAATACACATAAATGACCCCTCTAGAGTATAAAGTTTTTAAAATCTAGAATACATCTCAACAAAGACTTAAGTAATTGAATATAAAGCTACAGCTAAGCAGTCTAAACAAATTTTATTTTTTGTACTCTCATCAGTGTATTGGCTTCAGTATATACATCGACTATCTTATAGCTCGCTGCTGCAAAAGAGTGTGCTCCTGCATTTTTTTTAATGTTAGTTCTCCTCCCCAAGGCTGAGAAGGCAACTACAGTTGAGGAAGCTACTATAATTGTAGTACAACCCTCTCTCAAATCTATAACTTTGAAACATGAACCTTGGAGATCAAGGCGGTTGCACAGAGATTCTTGAGACGTGGTGGATATTAAACTTGGAGTTTCTTGCCTATGAGGCAAGTCTTCTACCACTACACCACGCAGCAATCTTTTTTCTTTTACTATTCCAAATAATATTCCTTAGGTTTAAAAAGTCTTCCCTGACAATAAGCAAAAAAATAAAATCATTTTAAGCGGTTTAACTGTAGCTTTATTGGAATTAATTTCAAAAAGTTTGTTTTTCATAATAACATAAAATATGTATATAAATTTAAAAAAAGAGAATAAAAAGGGAAGGAACAAATTCTAGCAATTTAATATATTGTGTTGTATATAAAAATCAATATTAAAATATAAACAAAAAGTTGTGTTAAATATAAAAATCATAGCTAAGCTTAAGTTATGATTGTTTGATTTTTATTTTTAAATTATATTTAGTTATTAATTATAGTTTGAGAGCTGACCTATAAAATTTCCATTCTTTAAAAGTTATAAAACAGTTTTTTGCTGTTGCTAAGCCATATTTTTCCTATTTAATTTATATATTAATCAATGAATACATGTCATGTTGATGATTCTTTTGCATAATGTTCTACTTGATCTAGAATTATTTTTCAAACTCCTATGTACTGATAAGGCCATTTTCCCTGCTCCTTACTTAAATCACAAGTTTTTTGAGAAAAAGTCAATATGATTGTGCAGAAAGTAGGCTTTATGACATCTACACAGCTAAGGTTTTTTAACTTACCTTTCATATTGGTTATGATAATATCATAGTTAAGCACTTTCACATTGCTCAAAATCTTAGTCACAACTTTTTTAAATAGTATTAGTAACTTCTTCTTCCTTTCATTGTGACTTTAAAACTAGAATTAATTTTATCTTTGGAATATCAAGGCCAGCAAAAATTCCTTCTTTCAGTTAACCTTCTTATAAATGAAATTTTCTACACAAATATATAAAAAATAGCTATCTTTTAGGTGGAAATGTTCTCATTGGTCAATGACGGAGATGTTTTGATTGGTCAAAGACAGAGATGTTCTCATTGCCAGGTGTCAAGATTATTCTCATGGTTTATTGTTTTTTGGACCAATGTTGATCTCTTGCTCTACTGTTCCTCTCACTTATAAAACATGGATGCTTTGACCAAATTCCTTTATTTGACCAAATTGAATATAAACTTTTTTAGACTTCAATATCATGGTAGTATACCAAATCTTCTTTCTTTTTGAAATTTTTTTTACAGTATTTCTGTTACATTCTTGCAAAAGTGTTTTCTAGTCCTCTCTTCAATACTCCCTAAACAACTGATTAACAGAATTTCCTGGCTTTTAGAAAATTGCGTCTGCAGCTGCTACCTTTAAAAGCTCAGGGATTGCTTTGAATCTTCTGATTATTGTCCAATCAGGTGCATAATTTGTACCATCCATATTGTTTTTTATCAGTAATAATGATCTTCCTGACCATTCTAGCTCTATAGTGGATCTATTTGCTAATGATACAACCATCTCTTCCATTCTTGATAAAAGTCATCACTTTTTTGATTGTTTAGAACAAGCAGCCAATCTTAAGTGTTATCTTTTCTTTGTGACAAATCAGGCTGTAATAATTCTCTTCCAATAATGTAATAATTTTTTAATATAGTTACCCTTGATTTATGAGATTTTAAATCATATATCAAACAAGGAATAAGATTTTTGCCAGATCAGCCAACTGATACATAACACAGGTCAACATATTTTTTTTTTCTGGTGCCGAGCAAACAATTTGTTTTTTTGTATAGCATTTCTCATTTTGATTTCAAATATGCAACTTATTTTTTATCACGTGAAGTTATAAAGATGTTTGGGTTCAAATCTTTAGTATTTGGGGTAAAGTCCCTAATATTGTTGAAAAAAAAATTATTCAAAAGTATGTCAACCTGGGTCTCAAAAGAAGCGTATTTTCATAGAGATTTTAGAAAACATAAATATTTTTCCTTAAAATTTATTGACTAAAAAATGCTTAAGACTCTTAAAAAAATTTTAACAAAATGTTTTTCAGCAATAATACAAAAAGTGCTTATTTTTATTTCAAACAAATAACATTTTTTTAAGGGATTTTAGCCCAAATGCTAAAGATTTGAACCCAAATATCTTTACAACTTGACGTGATGGTGAAAATTGAGTTGCATATTTGAAATCAAAATAAGAAATGCTTTACAAAAAACAAATTGTTTGTTGTTGTTGTTGACCTATGTAATGTTATATAACATATATTTAGTCTGTTTTTGCACTAAAAAGTTTAGTTCAATTTCTTTTAGGGTCAAAATCAATCTGGAACAGGTGGATCAAATCAAAATAAAAAAGACGATAAGGTGAGATCACTATTTAGACTTTAAACTAATTTAACATAATTTGTTATTAATATGATATAATAATTATAATATAATATTCCCAGCAGGTATTCGGTCCAAAAAGAGTGCTTTAAATGTCTTGTGAATCTTTAAAGATATATCTTTAAAGATATGTTTTGGTTAAACAAGGCATTTTTCATGTTTTACAAATTTAAACTCTTGCAAATAATGGGTACCCCAACCAAAAATGAAATCTCTTATACTTACCTTTAACTTTCTTAGTGCATCATAGTGTCCAAAGTCATTCAGTCTTTGTACACTATGCTACACCAATCCCTAAAAAAAAAACAGTAAATATATGTACAACCATAAGTATATTCTCCATAACCCTGCGGTTTGATTGACAATGTGTAGATTTAGGATTGGGATGTTAGCGAATCACAAAGTTCTTTTTACTAAAATAATTATGGTTTTCAGGGCTATTTACTATTAAAACTTTATATTATTTATAATAATAAATAATATATAAGGGGTCATCCATAAATTAGGTCATGCTCTAAGGAGGGGGTAGGAGATGGAGGTTAGTAGATTTGTGATGACTTATACAGGACTTGTTACTAACGTGTTACAATTTTGTGATGAGTGGGGTGGGATCAAAAACGATTGAAAATTGCCTGACATAATTTATGGATGACCCTTAAGTTATAAATTTATTTTCTACCTTAATCCAGATAAAAGTTTAAACATAAGTTTAAAATTTCATTAATAATTGTGAGGTGTTCAAAAGTTATAACCATTTTGAGTTTGCAGCCTTTATCCATATTGAAACCTTCCTGACTTTATACAATATATTGTGATATATTGATACATTATTTGTAAAATATACCACTCATGCCATAGGCATTATTTATGTATTATTTATTGTCATATTTGTTCTATTGCATTATTTTATGATGAAATATTTAACAATTGTTTAATGACAATTGTAATTAAAAGCATTGTCATTGGACTTTTCAACTTTTTACATATAGATAAGATTTTGTGTAAGCGAAAGAATGAAAAAAGGAATTCTAAAATAGGCGCCTAATTTTTCTTAAGCATATGTATGTGAAATGCAAAAGCTATTTTGGCTTTTATGCCACCAGTATTTGATGGCAACCATCAGCAGTTCGTCTGACAACTACGAACATACATAACTGCAATTGACAAACCTGAATCCAAAAAGAAAACAATTTCATTAACATATTTGCCACCACAGATCTATTCTGCACTGGCAGATCTATGTCTGCCCGTATACCCAGTATATGACTTAGTTATCTACGAAGACCTAGAGGAAAACATTATGAAACTTTTAAAACTGAAGTTGTCATTAATACTACAACCCTCGGAATTAGGGTCTGCATTCGGCAATGCCGACCTAACTGCCGATCTGAAAGTGTTTGGGGTTGGCAAAAAATTGCCAACCTCGTTTCTATGTTTTATGGTCAGACCTTTGTATCAAGTAATTATTGCCAACCTGATGCCAACCTAAAAGATTGAGGTCGGTAAATTATTGCCGACCTCATTTTTCCTAATTCCAAGGGTTGATACAATGTTTTGAATTTGACAAAAGTGTGACAGCAAGTGTGACAACAAAATGGGTAACAGCAATTATTTTGATTAATTGGTTCTGGATACTATCTGAATGTTAGCATATGACATAAGTGTTGCTGTTACTATGGCATGAATAAATGAAAACAAAGTAAAATAATGTGTTATATTGTGTTATAAAATTTGGTAAAGTAAAATATTGTGTCATTAATATGACAAGAAATAAAGAAAACAAAATAAAATATGGCGCTGTTACTACAACAAGAAAAAAAGAAAACCAAATAAATAAAAAAAATGTGATGTCATTAATATGACAAAAGGTAAAGAAAGTGAAATAAATGAAAAAAATATCAGGACTTCACAGCAAGTTTCTATGGGAAAAACTGGATGGCATCATGGAACTGAAATAAAGAGTCTGCAATCAATAATACCATTTGTGAATTCAATGGGAACCAAGAGTACAAATGAAGTTACTGGAAAGAATTGAATCAATGGATTAACTCTGGCATTCTTGTACCATATAACCAACTAGCATTGGGACCACCTAAAGTATTGATACTGCTTATTTGTGTGTGCAAGATAAAAGACAAAAGGTATATCCAATGGGAGACCTCTGAGCTCTTAATAAATTTGCAAATTGTCAAACAGCAAATGTGTATGTTTTTCAAGAGAAACTGTTGTTTGAGAAAAATGAAAAAATGCAAAAATTCTTGATCTTAAAAAAGCCTACTTACAAATTCATATTGATAAAAAGCTTTGGTCATATCAAATGGTGATTTTAAATGGGAAATGATATCATTTTACCATATGATATAATATGTTTATGGATGAAGGTGTGGAAACTGGGAAAAATGTAGTGAAGCATCTGCTTAAGTTTGGATTATAATGCAAACCTCCATAAGATCTCAAACAAAGACATATTTTTGGATTGAGAGTCAAAAGAAATAAAAATGGGGAACTGATTTGGAAACAGGACAATGTGAATCTTTTAATGCAATCAATTTGAATTTTTTGATGCAGTCACATGATTACAGCTTTTGAGCCTTAGGTAAACTTTTTGGACACTAACTGGAAGTTCGTGTTTACAAGCTTCATACATTAAACATTTAGCTGGAAATATTCCTTGGAGTGATTTCATTTCTGAAACATTCTTTTTATTTGGGTCGCCAGTTTATCCTCTATTGGAAAACAAATTTGTGTCCAACACGTTGACAAGATTTTCTGAAGAATGTTTTTTACAAGTGACACTTTTTCTAAAGGTTATGTTTACATGATGCAAGTTTTTGTTTTTTTATCATAACACCAAAACTGAGGAAAAAGAAGTAAAAAAGAGTTGTAGTGAGAAAACAGATTATGAAACAGTTCTTTGAACCCTTAATTGAACCCATCAAAGGGTGTGGTATAGCAGAAAGAAGAGTACTAGTCCGAAGTGGTTTTTGGCAAAACAATGCTAATAATAAAGTAATATTAAATGATAAAAATAAAATTAATAAAGTTAATAAATAAGGCAAATAGACCTGAAAGAAAAGGTAACAATACTAAAGTTGATAGAGAATGTGGTAGAAGACTGCGATTAACAGGGAATAGAATTAACATTAACATAATAATATTGCTGATTGACATTTACTATTTTTTGAAGATGTAAGAATGATGCAAGAAAATCTTTTCTTTTAGATTTTGTTAAGCTTTATCTTACATCTAAAATTATCGAGCTGTTATAATTAAAACAAATTGCTATGCTCAAGATTTTTGATAAATAAAGGAATAAGTACGAAGTTGGTATCTGGTTACTGTTTTAGAAATGAAAAAGTTTTTAGATCTTGTATTGCTTACGGGAATCACATACAAACCTGAAATCTATGCAGTGTCAATCATACTCAAGTCTTTTTTCATTTTGTTTTACTAAATCCTTTTTTAAAATTTGTTAATCATGAAAATAAATAAAGCAGTTTTTCTTAATTCAGTTAAGGTTATCTCTTATTTATAATTTTTTAGTAAAAGTATAAAAAAATGAAGTTGTTGCAAAATTTGTGCTTTTTGTTTAGATATTAATTTGCATGCACATAAATTAATTGTGCAAAACTGTTTTATTGATAGTTTGTTATTAGAATGAATAGGGGAGAGTAAGACACCATGACACTTTTTTGTTTTTTACTTCATTACAATTTTTTTAATATGCCTTTTTTTTAGGTGGTTGGTTTAATTTGTAGAATAAATTTATACCCACAAAATAAGTTCTGTAAATTATCATAATACAACAGATAAAACTTTTGAGATTAGTTAAAGTAAAATTAGAAATTTGTTTCAAGGTACCCCTCCCATGGGGTACCTTGATACACGCTACAAGCATCATTAAAAAAGTAAATAAAAAGTATAAAACATAGAGAAAAGGCAGATTTTTACTTGAATTATAAAAAAATGAATATTTATAACCCAAATAATGCATCGAATGGTCTAAATCACATTTCAGAAGACCAGATAATATATTGTTTTAAATGTCATTAAAGGTCAATAAATAAAGACTTTGTATCTAAATGGGATCTCCTTGTATTATATTTACATAAATCTTTTTAAAATTGACATTAAATATTAAAAGAAATGATTTTTAGAATTGTTTATGACACAATGTAGTACTACTCTATAGTTTTAGGCCCCCCATAAATGGTGTATCAAGTTACCCCATACTTGCTAATAGAAAACAATTGCTTTATTTTTAGTATCAATTTGATTTTCAATGATTTTGTTTAATGAAGTAAAAAGCTTATGGATTGTAGTTTACAAAATATTGTTACTTACCAATAGACACATTGAATAAAATACCTTAAAACTTATGAGCTTTAAAAACTGATAAATTGAAAAAAAAAATGACAAAGTTGTCATCAAAAAAACACAAATTTCGACTCCTTGCAGGTCTAATGATGTCAAATGATATAATTTTTTTTTCAAAACATAGCTTTAGTAGTGTTTCACTATATGAAAGTGGTTGTCTTAACTCTTAAGATGCCTCCACAATTACAATGTTTCATGGTGCCCAATGTATCATGGTGCCCCACTCTCCCCTATTTTTAATTTTTTTATAAAATATATTTCTTGAATATTATTTTTAACAGGTAATAATATTTTTGAAAGAAAAGACATTTAAAACTCTGTTCATCAAACAGTAAATATTGAAATATTACTTAAAGAAAATTTATTATAGATTTGGTTAAATTAAAAAATTCTTAAAGAATAGTTCAAGTGCTTATTCCATTTACAACACTAGGTGCGGTTGTAAAAGCAAAAATGTTAAAAAAAAAAAAAAATTTACTAACTAAAAGTTGAGTAAAAGTAATTATGACGATGACCAATTAATAAAATGGGCTTAAAAGTTCAAAATACAAATTTGAATAATAATAATAATATATATATAAAGTATGCAAAAAAAAAAATGA